TGGCTCTCTCTCTCGCTTCCTCTCTCTAAATCATCAGTCAAAATAAGCAAACTATTAATGCAACTAGACAAGAGACAGATACATTCCGTCTTTCTGTCTTTCTGTCTTTCTGTCTTTCTGTCTGTCTATCAGTCCGCCCGCCCATCCATCCATCCATCCATCCATCCATCCATCCATCTCCCAAGCTTTCTTTTGGAGAAAAGTCCACACATCTGCAAACTTAGATATGCATTGGACCCTCCATTTCTTAAACCAGCTAATGACTGGCCATCATTAACATTTTGAACCCATTAAGATTTTTGAAAGGATTTTAGTTTTGGGGTTTTTTTTAGAAAATAATTTAAAGCAGAAATCAATGCCCATATTTCTTGCTTAAAGGCCTCCAGTGATGGGAAAACATTGTCTCTTCATCTCTGCTTTTTATGAGTTGGGGGCAGTGACATTTTGCTGTGAGAGGGGGAATGTACTTCAGAGGGCAGACATTACATGCATTTAAATTGCCACTTTTTGCTGTGGAGTTCACAGAACTATCAATCAGTTTCCCTGCTTGGTACAGTTGATGAGAAAAAGATAACAATTTACACCAGGATTTGATTTCTCCCCTGCTCATCATTTCTTTGTTTTGTTCTTGTTGTTATTTTTTTTTAAGCTTTGTAGACTGTACAAATCCAGCCTGAAAGTTTTTACCTGACCTGGTTGAACATATTGTACAAGTTTTTTTTTCCTTTCTCTTTTCCACTGTGGTTAAGAATATAAGTATATCCAAGCTTGGTTTATGCAAAACCCATATCCATAATGTGCTTTGTTTAGCTTTTTCTTTAATTCAAAACACCAATAAACATTGGTGAACCCATGGCTAACCGGGAGTTATAGTTTCAGGATTGGCCATTGTAGCTGGTATAGCAAATCCAGTTTAAAAAGAGGCACGATTTAGCACAGCCATGGGATTGACAATCCATATAATTCCAAAGTTTAGGAAAAGCACAGAAGTCAAACGGAAAAGATTGCAGGACCTTGGACAGATCACAAAGTGCTGGTGATTTTCTCAAATGAAATCCCTGCTCCAAAACGACCCATTATTATCAAACTTCCATAATCTGGCCTCCATCCAAGCAAGCGAGGATAGCAATAGCAATAGCACTTAGATTTATATACTGCTTTACAGTGCTTTACAGCCCTCTCAGCGATTTACACAGTCAGCATCTTGCCCCCAACAATTTGGGTCCTCATTTTTACCCACCTTGGAAGGATGGAAGGCTGAGTCAATCTTGAGCCTGGTGGGATTCGAACTGCTAAATTTGCAGGCAGCTGGCAGTCAGCAGAAGTAGCCTGCAATACTGCACTCTAACCGCTGCACCACCATGGATAAACTTCCTGTTGTGGTTTTGCTATCTAGGAATGATGAAAGTGGTAACCTAACAACATCTGGAAGGTACCAGATTAGAGAAGATTGCTTTTCCCTCCCAGTTGTTCAGTAATTTTATGGAGTCCACCTTCTACATCTTCCTCCAACTACGGAATAGAGATGCCAAAATATGGAACAAAATTACAAACTAAATGATTATGGAGAATCATCTATAATTAAAAACTAGAGACTCAAGGTGGACTCAAGAGAGTAAATGATTTTCCAAATGAGGAGAGTGTGTCTGATCCTTTCCTTCATTACTTCCTGTGTACTAATTGCTTAAGGAATAGAATACTAAGCATTTTTAATGTGCCCTGTTTAAGAAATGCTTCAAAAAAGTGCTATTAAAAACAGAGACACACTGCACCTAAAAATACAAATAGTGATAGGAAAAGAGGGAGACCATATCTTTCAGATGCTCTTTTAAGAATTGCAATCCTCTGCATTCTCTTCCCACACAGTAGTTTGAGGGTCTTTGTGGGTCATTCCTAGTTGCTCCCATTCAAATCTGGGGAGTGTGCTGCCAAAGAACCAGCTTTGGCAGCAAAATCAGGTGTTTGTCGGCAGGGAGGAAAAAAAACACCACCTCATTGCTCAGTGAGCCATTTTCTGGGGATTTCATGAAATGCAACAAAATAAAGGAAGTAGGTTTAGAATAGCAAATTTCGGTCACAAATTGGATTCTCTCATGTAAGCCCTTTTACAGTTTGCACCCAAAAAAAAAATCCATAAAATTACATTTATGTTCCATTTTTCCTGTAGGATTACACTTATCCTTGTTTTTGGCTTAGTAAGGAATGCTAAGTTATAATTACTGGTCCAAAGTTACCCACCGAGTTCATAGTTGAATGGGGGCTTCAACTATATCTTTCTCATCCTAGATTAACCCTTTGAACCTGGTATCACCCTTCTTCTTCTCCTTCTTCTTCTTCTTCTCCTTCTCCTTCTCCTTCTCTTCTCTTCTCTTCTCCTTCTCCTTCTCCTTCTCTTCTCCTCCTTCTCCTTCTCCTTCTTCAAAAATGAATAGTCAATGGACATCCAACTCTTGTATAAAGGTGTGCTTGAGTTGAAAGTGACTCCAGGTTATAGCCCCCGGGGTTTTCTAATCGTCTCCCACCCAATCAAAAATCTGATACATTCACAGCTTTGGAGCTATATGAAGACACCCTCTGATTTCTCCTTTATTCAGCAAGTAAGAATGAAAAACAAGCAGGTGATGAGTGCAGAATGAGCTCTAAACTGTTCTTAATGTGAAAGAGAAATCAAAGCCATGTCACTAAACTCCTACAAATAACAATGGACTTCTGCAGTGTCATCACATGGTCTTCCAGAAAGCTAACCAAGATGGCACTAACCACACCCCAGGGGGAAGGATGTTCCAGAGCAGCGGTCACCAACTGGTGGTCCGTAGACTACTGGTGGTCTGCTAGAAAATGTTGGTGGTCCACAGAAAAATTATTTGCATTTTTTATATTGCAGTAAATCAGGGGTCCTCAAACTACGGTCCCTGGGACAGATACACTCAATGAACATTTGTGTTGCAGCAGAGAGTCTCCCCCTTCGGGGTCTTTTTATGTGGGTTGGAGGGGGCAGAAATTCCAACTTGGGGTCTCCTTCAGCCTCCTAGTACAGGGCTTTGGGCAAAGGCTGGAGGGAAGTGCCGCTGATGGCAAAGAGCCGGAGGGCCTTGTTCCAGTGGGACTGCATCATGGCCTGGAACTGGTTGACCATCTCAGCACGCTGAGCCTCCAGGTGCCGGTACCTGGCCTTGCACTCCCGCAGGTCTTCCCTCTGCTTAGAAAACCTATGCTCGTAGTCCTCAGTGAGGTGCTTCTGCTGAGCCTCCTTCTCGGCCAGATCCAATTTGAACTGAGCCAGCTGTTTTGCCAACTCTTTCTCATAGTGGCTACTTAACTCCAACAACTGCTTCCTGTTGGGGCCCTAAGGAGCCCGGGTGCGCAGGCGAGGAGTGGCTGGGAGGGGAGGGGTGAGTAGAGGCTGGCGAGGTGCCCCTTGACATGAGTGACATCGAGTTGGCCATGCCCACCCAGTCACATGACCGCCTATCCACGCCCACCCAGCAGGTCATTAGGCAGATCGTATTAGTGGTCCGTGGGATTTAAAATTATGAAGTTAGTGATCCCTGAGGTCCGAAAGGTTGGTGACCCCTTTTCCAGAGGGAGGGAGCCACAGCAGAAAAGGCACACTGCCCGAGTCCCGCCTGATGGAGATGGGCAATTATCTTCATGGAAGGTAACCTGTCTGATCCCAATCGGAGGCATGAGAAGGAGCACCTGTCTCTGAGGAGTATATGAAATAGTAAGCAGGATTAACTTCCTTGCTTGTTAGCCAAGAAAATCAGTGAAAGAACATTAGTGCTAAGCCCTAAACAGCTGCTGACAACAAAAGACAGATTTATTTAACCTCCTTATTGAAAGGAATAAGGAATTAACCTACAAAAATTTACCTCTCAATTCATTGGGGGGGGGATTTTCTTAATCCTCTTACTAACCACCCATTGGCTACCCATTTTGCTGAATAAAAAGAAACAATATGTGAGCTTTCTTGCTTGTAATAGTTTGCAAGTGACTACATTTTTCTTTCTTAGGTTCCAAGAAACCCATTAAAGACAGGGGTTGAATATTTCCTCCAAGACTTGCTCTGGGTAATAGGTATATGGTCTGTTGTGTGGATGTTTAGGTGGTTTGGGTGTGGGGAATTTGTGGTGGGTGGGTGGGGGGTGTTTGGGGATTGTTATGTGTGTTGGACCTGGTCTTTGGGTGTTAAAGTTTAGTTTAGTTTAGTTTAGTTTATTTGATTTGTATACCGCCCTACTCCCGAAGGACTCAGGGCGGTGAACAGCCAAACAATAAAATATATAGATACAAAAAATTTAAAAAACCAGATAAAATCGAATTAAACCATTTTGGCCCAGACAAATTAAAACACCCCAATAATTTAAAACAGATTAAAATTTACATATTAAAAAGAGGGAAAAGATTAGGCCAGGCCAGCTTGATGAAATAAAAAAGTCTTAAGCGCGCGACGGAAGGTGCGCAGATCCAGGATCCTCCGTATCTCCGGGGGGAACTCATTCCAGGCAGTAGGTGCCCCCACAGAGAAGGCTCTCCCCCTGGGGGCCGCCAGTCGACATTGTTTGGCTGACGGCACCCGGAGGAGTCCCTCTCTATGAGAGCGTACTGGCCGGTGGGAGGCTATTGGTGGTAGTAGGCGATCCCGTAGGTAACCAGGTCCTAAGCCACGGAGCACTCTAAAGGTGGTAACCAAAACCTTGAAGCACACCCGGAAGACCACCGGGAGCCGGTGTTACATGGGAGTGCCACGTTGCTCCCATTACCACCCGCGCGGCCGCACTCTGCGCCAGTTGAAAGTGAATTTCTTTGTATGGGTATACTGTGTATACACATACAATGACAATAAAGTTGTTGTTGTTGTTGTTGTTGTTATTATTATTATTATTATTATTATTATTATTATTATTATATATGAGAATAAGATAGTATATCGTAAGTATTTCACATTCACTTCCTCCATCTTTCAACCCTTACCTGCCTAACATCTTTTTTGTATCTAGCCAGGTGACTAAAAGGCATGGGAAGACCCCCTGAAGCAGTCTTCAAGATGAACTTTGATGGAGTGAAGAAAAATCTTCAGATTTCTCTTATTTCCAGCTGCCCTTAAGGAATAATAATAATAATACTGGATTACCCCAGTGAGTGGAGTCCTCGGTGCTCTCTGAGCTTGGTTGCTTTCTTGCAGACATTTCATTACCTGACTAGGTAAGATCATTAGTACTAGAAGGGTGTGGGGTTCCTCTCTGTTTATATCTCCCCTTGAGGTGCACTCGGAGGCTCCAACTGGCGCAGAGTGCGGCGCGTGGGTGGTTATGGGAGCGACGTGGAGTTCCCATGTAACACCTCTCCTGCGCGAGCTGCACTGGCTCCCGGTGGTCTTCCGGGTGCGCTTCAAGGTTTTGGTTATCACCTTTAGAGCGCTCCATGGCTTAGGACCTGGCTATCTACGGGACCACCTGCTATCACCAATAGCCTCCCACCAGCCAGTACGTTCCCATAGAGAGGGGCTCCTCCGGGTGCCGTCGGCCAAACAATGTCGACTGGCGGCCCCTAGGGGGAGAGCCTTCTCTGTGGGGGCACCTACTGCCTGGAATGAGTTCCCCCTGGAGATACGGAGGATCCTGGATCTGCGCACCTTCCGTCGCGCGCTTAAGACTTTTTTATTTCATCAAGCTGGCCTGGCCTAAATCCTCTCCCCTTTTTAAATGTAAATTTTAATTTGTTTTTAAATTATGGGGTATTTTAAATTCAGCCAAATTATTTAATTCGTTTTTATTCTATTTTAAATTTTGGTATTTATGTGTTTTATCCTCTGGCTATTCACCGCCCTGAGTCCTTCAGGAGTAGGGCGGTATAGAAATTTAAATAAACAATAAATAAATATCAGGGGTGGGTTCTACTTACCTTTACTACCAGTTTGCATCATGCCTGTGCGCGCAGATCAACTTTGATGACGTCCGGGTCAGTGGGCGGAGCCTCCCACCGGTTTTACTACCAGTTCTTGTGAACCAGTCAAAACCAGGAGCAACCCACCACTGGTTTACATACAAGTGGATTACCCTATCAGTGTGGGTGGGAGTGGTCTTGGTGATTAGGCTGTGGTTTACTGTTTGATTCTTGCCTAAGTTGGTAGTTTCTTGATTGGCACGTTCTTTACAGCTTGGTTGTGGGTCAAGTGTTAATCTTGGTGTTAATCAATGGTAATTATCTGGGTGTTAACTGCTGGCGATGAGGTATTTTGGTCTCTTTGTTTCCTTTTGGTCTTTTCGGTTATCTCTTTTGAATGGTATGTAGATGTTGTTTATCTCTATGTGCCTGTTGATGGCCAATTTGTCTGAATGTGTGCCTTCCAGGAATTCTCTAGCATTTTTGGACTTAGATTAGTCTAGGGCCGTGATAGTGAACCTATGGCACGTGTGCCAGAGGTGGCACACAGAGCCCTCTCTCTGGACACGTGAGCCATCGCCCCAGTTCAGGTCTGCTGCGCATGCGCACACGCCTCCCACCAACCAGCTAGTCTTCAGATCTTCAGGTCTCTGCCATACATGCATGGGGCATGGGGCATGTGCAGGGGGCCGCATGTAGGTGCGGGGGGTGCATGCGCATGTGCAGGGGCAGGGCATGTGCATGCACATGTGGGAGGGCTGGGGCATATGTGGGGGGCCACGTGCATGTGAAGGGGGAGGGGTGCATGTGGGGGCATGCATGCAGGGGGCACAGGTGCAGGGGCCACACACGCATTGCATTTTGGGGGTTCAGGCACACACACGGGCATTCGTCATGTGCGTGCTTTGGGCACTCGGTCCAGAAAAGGTTAGCCATTACTGGTCTAGGATAATGAACCGAGGTGGCGCAGTGGTTAGAGTGCAGTACTGCAGCTACTTCAGCTGACTGCTAGTTCAGGAGATCAGCGGATCAAATCTCACCAGCTCAGGGTTGACTCAGCCTTCCATCCTTCCGAGGTGGGTAAAATGAGGACCCAGATTGTTGGGGGGCAATATGCTATTTAGTATGCTGTCTTTGGTGTAAGCCGCCCAGAGTCCTTGGAGAGCGGGCGGCATAGAAATATGACTAATAAAATAAATAAATAAATAATCCAATGCTCCTAGATGTCTCAGTGCCATGATCATTCATCAAAGTCTGGTCCATCTGATCAAGATATGCTGTTCCACAAATGTTCTTTGCTCACAGAATTTTATCAGGAAAAACATGTTCAGGACTTCACTATCCCTTCATAATTTGTAACAGCTTGTTCATGCATACTTTGCAGATTTCTTCCCTTACATAACCTTTTAACCCTTTATTTTCTCACAGTTAATTTATTCTATAAGCCAAGCTCATGAAATGTTAATGCTTTATCAACATTAGGACTGATATGCCTTAGATCGCAGAAGATAGCCAGATATAAAAGTAACTATAATCTCTTGGCCACTGAATTAATTCCTTTAGAAAAGCAGAATTCAGTTCTGTAGTTCTTTTTTTTTTAAAAAACAATCACAAAAGAAATATTTAACACAACAAGAAAAGGCTAAGGTAGAAAGTCTAAACAAATATTTATCCATTATTACCTTTAATAGGTTCAGGTTTTTTTCCCCATTTCAAGATCTTTGTGACGCCATATGAGAAATATCTGAAAAATGTCAAGAGGTAGCTGTGAAAACCAGGCCTTAAAATAGCAGAGTGATCTAAGCTAGAAAAACAACAAATAGTCTTTTGGTGCCTTAAAGGCTAAGAAATAAATTAGTGCCAAAAGAAGTGAAGGGAAGGACCAGGGGACACATGATAGCAGTCTTCCAATATTTGAGGGGCTGCCACAGAGAGGAGAGGGTGAAGCTATTCTCCAAAGCACCCGAAGGCCAGACAAGGAATAATGTATGAAAACTGATCAAGGAGAGATTCAACCGGGAAATAAGGAGGAACTTTCTGACAGTGAGAACAATCAACCAATGGAACAAAAGTTGCCTTCAGAAGTTGTGGGAGCTTCATCACTGGAGGCTTTCAAGAAGAAACTGGACTGCCATTTTCCAGAAATGGTGTAGAGTCTCTTGCTTAGGTGGAGGTGGGGGTTGGACTAGATGACCTATAAGGTCCCTTCCAACTCTGTTAATCTGTTAAAGTCATCCAGGTCATGGTTGTTCCATCGGTGCTTTTCCAAAAGGCAACTGGACTTCCTTGGATTTTTTCCTTAAAAACATTTCGCTTCTCATCCATGAACTGAATAAGCTTCTTGGATGAGAAGCGAAACTTTTTCAAGGGGGGAAAAAAAAACCCCAAGAAAGTCCAGTTGCCTTTTGAGAAAGCACCTTTGTGTCATTTTTTTAGCCTTTTGTGCAAATTGAAGCAGGAAGCATTGACTTAGTGGTGATAAGTAGAATTTGTCTTTGGTGCATTAGCTTTTGGGAAGCTTTAACTTTTCCCCCCCAGGATTGTCAGAGTAGGAATGGAAGGATGAAGTCTCCTTGACTGGCTTTGTGTCTCCTTACCCTGCCAATACTCAGTGGGCTAATTCTTCTTCTTGTGCCATATCCATCATCGGACGTTGGCGATCCTGTTGGCAATCCTATTTTTATCAGCAGCCGCACGAAAAAGTGCTGTTAAGTTTTGTCCAAACTAGTCCCTTAGATTTTGAAGCCACAATGTTCTTCTTCTGCCTGGACTTCTTTTGCCTTCAATCTTTCCTTGGAGGATTAAGTGAAGGATGCCGTATTTTTCTGGGTGTCGCATCACATGTCCAAAATATTCTTACTTTCGCTTTTTAATGGTTTTGATGATTTCTCTTGGCTTTCCCAAGCGGCTTATCACCTCCTCGTTTCTGATTTTGTCAACCCAGCTTATACGTAACAGCCGCCTGTCAATCAACATTTCAAATGCTTCTAGTCTCTTCAAGTGGTTTTCTGTCAGAGACCAACTCTCCACTCCGTAGAGCAGGAGAGAAAAGATGTAACATCTGATAGTAGGCTAATAAGAAGGAAAAAATTGCTTTTGTTTTTAAAAAAAAAGGGAGGGGGAATTGAATTGCAGATTCCTCCGTCTGCCCTAGCCTGCCCTTTGCTATCTTACGACTTCTCCTTTTTCTGGTGAGCTGAAATGTGAGGAAAAGATAGTAGACCAATTGGGGAACTCCCTCGTAATCACGGTCCCATCATCTGTCCTCATGATGAGAACACGCTGATCCTTCAGAAAACGCATGCATTCAGCTTGCGTTATGCGTCAGGGTGACAGTGACTATTGCAGTTTGGTAAGATTCAAAACCTGAGCTTTTTCCCCTTCTTACAAATACGGGAAAGGAAAAAAAAAATTTGCATTTTGTGGGGTGGTGGTACCAATATATTAATCCTTGGGAGGATCTGGAGTTTGGCCACTATTGAGAAATACCGGAGAGAAAAGAGAAGGCTATATGAGCCACATCCTAAATTTCCATACTGTAGCTGTATATATAAATATAGCTATATATATATATATACTCATATATATAAACAAATTAAGCACAGAGTCAAAACAATGATTCCATTCTGAAAGAAGATCTCTGTTTTGTGTGATGGAAAATAGAAGTAGTCAGAAAGTAGATCAGGTTAGACGTCTGGATAACATACCAAAAGCATTAGGGATCTGCGTTTTGATTATATAGACACGTTTAAAGGGTAGGGTAGGGTTTCAGAAACGGGGGCAGCATTTCCCATTCAGTGATCTGTGCTGTGAAGAGCAAACAGGATCTTCTAAAGGTAGGGTCCATGCTTTATTATTAATCTTGTATTGATGTCTCTGCCTTGGAGAACTTGATGACTGGTCTGCAGGTCGTCGTTTTAGAATTTCATTGTAGAGAGGATCCAAATCTAATAGAATAAAACTGTCAGCGCTTCGACGCTGGCATAGAGAGCAGAGGAGAGAGAGAGATAAGCTCTGAACTTTTGCCTGCTAAATCCCTTTGAAGTCGGGTTGTGGAAATGAGGGGGGGAGACATTCCTGGGAAATGACGAGGCAAGAAGTCTGAAGAATGACTTGGAAGATAGCCAATGAGAAGCAGAGATTTGGGGATCGGAAAGGGAGGGATTGGGGGGCAAAAGGTCAGTCTTGGCCGCATCGAGTCATGATCCGGTGGCTGTGCTCAATTAAAGAAAAGATTTCCTTAAAGATTGGCAGTTTGGAAATTCATTTATTTTGAGATAGCATCGAAGTCTGACAAAAGCACTATCAAAAGTAAGGCA